GACGCGCGCCCTGGTCTCCTCTCTACATCAGTTTCTCGGCGCAAAGGTTACGTGAAATCAACTCACGTCACATCATTTTTTCTGCTTTAGCGGGGAGAATAAACGGCCAGAAACATACCTCAATGTGATTGAAAGATCGCAAGAAAGCTACTCGCTTTTGAAAGCTAATCGCTTAAAAAAAAAAAAAGAAGAAAAAGGCTCCGCTCCTACTCCCAGCATGACGTTCCACGTGCTTACGCCATGCTCAGTTTCACAGCGCAAACATTTACTGAACTTTTTTTTTTTTCGTAGGTCGCAGCTACTGGTATTTTCCTATTTTTTGTTGGGAAGTTTGCGGAGCGAAAGTTCGTCTGCTTCTTTTGCATGGGTTGTGGTGACGTCAGAACGCCAAGCTTTGATTGGATCTTCCTGAAGGATTGGGGGTAGACCTCAAGGCAGCATGCTTTGAAGTCTTTCCACTATCCTTATATCAGAGTCAATCGGAGCTCGGCGTTCTGACGTCACCACAAAGCCTGCTCAAGGAGCAGATGAGCTTGCCCTCCGCTCGGGCGCACCATGGCCACTGGCAGCACCAGAAACACAGGGTCGAGGCTGATTATGTTCACGCGTCTTGCTTCGCCATAGGCTCTTCAGCGTCCTGGTCTTCAGACACCGCAGCCTGATGGGAAGCTGAGCTATAATAGGATACCCGGGACACGCCACGGCCCGCGTTTCGAAAGAGCTGTCTGTGACTCTAGTTTTAATTTCTCGTCGGAGAACGTGGCCGCCGGTATTTCTCGGTCGTCGCTCTGTATACATCAAGATAAAGCTGTCAAATATTGTGCTCGCCGACTACTAGTCATGTTTAAGACGGACTTCAATTTATCACTTCTAGCTGAAATCAATTACTAAGGGCCGAGCCTGGCATTGCATTTATGTTTGCTCGAATACGTTCTGTCTGCAAAAACAAATTAACAATTGGAAGTCAACGCTAAGCACGCAATCCACTACCACGCCAGATACTTGTATTTAATGACGGTATAGACCTTTCCAGCGGCAGTCTCGAACGAAGCGATTTATAGCGCGCGTCCCTGGTTTTGAGAGGGCACGTCAGTGTTGCCCGACTGCGCTGGGCTGTGGGTTTTCTAGTCAGTGGGCTGTGGTAGCCTGGCGCACTTCCGGACGATGGTGGAAGCTAAACTTCCGCGTTCAATTTTTTATTTTCTGTTCTGTGGCGAACAGCATAGATATTCCCCGCCCACAACATTAAATTAAACGACTCTCATGAATCGAACAACATATATTGTACGTACCCCACGGTGCCTCGTTATCCGGACAGGATTTTAGAAAGGTCTCAAATAACACATCAGATCCAAATTACAGTGCCAACGATAGTCACTTCACGACTATCGGACGGAACCCGGCGTGTTTTGGGGCACATGTAGAACAGAGCTGCTTCTTTGCACAGCTTCAAAGGAAATGAACGAACGTGTCTATTCCGTCCCCACACTCCGGACCCGTCCCTATCAGCTATTTTTCGCAAAGACCCGGAACATAGCCGGGAAGGCGTTTTGGAGATTATCTCAACGAAACAATCCTCCAACTACGTCAACCTGCCAGCGTCGCGGGCTGCTTGACGTTCGCTCTCTTCTTTCGCTTCCTGCGAAGGCCGAGCAGGCTACGAGCCCTGGTATTCCCTGGTTCCCGCAGTGGAAGATAACACACAAAGGGTAAGCATCATAAACAGGCCAATAAAGTAAAAACTTCCAACAAAAGCCGGCGAACTCCGAGTGCACAATGCAGGTGGGGAATCACGCTCACCGCGTTTCCACAGCTCAGGCGGGGGGCAGAAATTTCTGGCTGATAGGGGTCGCTCGATTCGCAAAATGGCGGCGGCCAAAGAGTTATTTTTGCAAAGGTCTATAAGGTATAGCTGAAACTGAGAGTAGCTCTATGGGGAGTTCTGGCCAAATTTGACGTGCTCGGCTAATCATTTTGTTAAAAAAATTGAGATCCACCAACGTCTAGGTTACACGGTCTGCTAGAAAAGCTCTGAATTCTCAATAATAACGTCGCGTTCTCTAAAGTATGCGCGGCGTTTGAATTCAGTGTGAGCAATTACTTTTGATCAAAAGAGTAGCAGTTACGCGAATTCCATCTGCCCTGTACGTTTATCAGGTTGGAGGGCTTAAAGGTGGAGAACTGTCAAAATGAACCGTTGGGCTACTTGGGTAAACAGAGCGGGAACATAACGAACCATAGAGGACAAGAGATAATAACACATTAATAGCTCAAGTTTTCGTACTTGTCACTCAATCTTAAAACTGGTCACCAATAGAACACTGCGATTCTTGGCCACATGATCCACAGGAGAGTGACGTAGTCGTTTCTGACATCTCATTAAGTTTTGACATGACGTTTTTTTTTTTCAGCGCTGAAATTAAGACGACTACGACAACGACTGCAACTAAAATTCTGCAGCCGATGCAGATGACTTTTAGAGTTTACGTGTTACAGTACGACATAACATGCACATGGCTGAAACACTAGATTGATTGCGTAAGTGTTATTTAACGAAATATAACATGCCGCAACCAAAAACCTTAACGGGGTCTTTAGGCTTTACAGGTTTGTTTTAAAAATCCGTTAAAGTTACACTAATTCGGTTTGTGCGGGTGAGTTAACGACCAGGGTAGCATAATATACAGGGCTAGTCGTCACGATACATATTCTAATTAAGTCGAATTTCGTAATTAACTTTCAACGTAGTGAAGATTCGAATTACAAACTTGCTGTCACAAATTTTTTTGAAGTTCATTGATTTAGGGGTTTTTCATGACGCTCAGTAAGTTTCTTGTTGGAACCATGTGTTTATCTAAAAAAAAGTAAATTAAAGCTTTTGAGGTAATTAAACAACATATCGTGACAAGTAGCCACTGATATTATTTCCCCTTAGTCGTATAACGCACCCGCATTGACCGAATCAGTGTAGCTTTGGCTGTTTAAAAAATATCTGTTAAACCTAAAACACCGTGTATATCCAGTTAGCCATGAGTTTCCTTTGTGCGCAAAACAATGAAAAAGAACCTGCAAGAAAAAATATAGGCATATGGATTATGATATGTTCTGTCAACTGATACCTATGTACGGGGTCTTTTACGAAAAGTGGAGACATTCGATATATCGAAAACTACTCGTCGCAATAAAAAAACAAAAAAAAAAGGCTTGTGTAGGCTTGGTTTTGGGCTAGGTACCTATTTAAAAAGATCATTGAAGTCCGGGATAATTAGATTGTTAATTATTTTTGGTGTAATTAGCTTTTTAATATTGTGTTTAAGGGCATGGTTTCAGTTAGAAAATTGCTCAGCATCATCGAAACACTCTAAATCAACAAATTGCAGAACGATATAAGGCACACGCAGCATTTTATGGCTTTGTGAAAAACCGCAGCCGTAAAATGCTGTACGTGCCTTCTGTCGTTCTGCAATTAGTTTATTTAGTGTTTTTCGATGATACTGAGCAATTTCCTAATTGAAACCCTGCCCTTAAACACATTGTTAAAAAGTTAATTACGCAAAAACAATTAAAAACCTAATTATCCCAAACTTTAATAATTTTCCTAAGTAGGGCTCTGGCCCAAAACCAAAACGACACTAAGTTTTTTTGTTGTTGCGACGAGTAGTTTTCGCAATATCGAATTTGTCCCCCTTTCGTGAAACACCCTGTATATATATATATACATATACATATATAACTGGGAAGAAAAAAAACCTTAATGAAAACAGCAACAACGGACGATTCATTCTTCGATGTTTCGACCCGAGTCCGGCCTTCGTCAGGAAGTCCGGTCTTCGTCAGGAGTCCGGCATCCGTCTTTCAAACACATCAGAGCGAGCGCTCTTTAAAAACTGCATCCTACGCATTATAGGCTTTTGAAGATAAGTGTTAATCGTATTTCTTTTATTTCACAATACTGCAGGCTACTTTAAGGTTCTACCAGGAGGGGATAGAAAATTACAGTTGCAGGAACACAAAAACATCCGTGAACATACGCATATTGTAAATACAAAAATAAAAAAAAAATTTTTTTCTAGTAACTTGGTTTGGGAGTGTCAGCAAACCCCATCCCTCGCCCCCAACCCTCACGCAACCTACGAGCAGTGGGTGGGCCAGCTGACCAGTTCCGACCTCTCAGCCCAGCGTAGCCTGGTGGAGAGAGCCCGGAAAGTCAGCGCGGACCAGGGCTTCCCGGACTAGAGGAGGCCCCCCACCGGGCGGGCGCCCAACCATCAGCGCCTGAAGCTCTATTTATTAAAAGTTTATTCCTCCTCCTCCTAGTAACTTCGATACTGTGCTGTGGAAATATGACACTTGTTAGTCGAAGAAAAATACACAGCAGAAAAAACTTTTCAATGCAAACGCTCTCCTCGTCTGCTTTTTTTTCCTTGATAGATCATTTTTTTTTACTTACTACAGTCTCAAGTGTTACGCAAAATGATCTATCACCAGCTCACCTGCGAACTTGCTGTCTTGAAAACAACAACAACAAATTATTGTGTTCCTTGTTTGTTTAGAGAGTCGAAAGTTAGTCATCCCCAATGGGCGTCTGTTGTCTCAAGTGTAGGAGAGACATTTCACCAGTACAGTGCCAGTGCTAGCCTGGTGTCGTTAAAGTGCTTTAAGCAGTAGTGGTACACGACCGCACGCCGGTACGATGTTCATCGAGATCCAAACGGGCAGGAGTGGGGATTGAATCCATAATTCCTGGGTGTTGCGGCACGAGCGTTCGCTGCACGTTGCCCGAGCGGCGGTTCGCTCGCACGTTATGTCACTGGTCAGTCCAGTGTTCTTTTGAAGATCATTCTGACCCCCGTACGACACATCATATGCGGGGTCCTCAACAGTGCCTTTTGACAGGCTTTTGACATTCTATTATTGTCCTTGAAAACGAAAACAAAATTTCTTTCAAAGGAACGGAACCTTAGGTGTCTTTTTGTGTTGGTTTCAATTACCTTCATTAGGTTCATCCTGTACAAGCTACCCAAGATGCAGAAGACCAAGGGAAACGCGTTCACGCCGGCCGGTGGGGAGTTTCTTTACATCGACTCTGATTCCCCGACCAGTGCGCGCACGTGGACGTTGTCTTCTCAAGACCTCTATAGACCGCCCAACCCTTTGGCTTACACATTAGCACCGCTGTACCAAACGGCTGTACCTCAGGTGAGCCTTCTTTGTTTATGCTTTTATACCGACCGAGATGTGACGTTTGGCTTAACTGGTACCGCCATCGTAAGTAAAAGCCTTGCAAATTTAAGACCGCTGGTGGCCGTTATCACTTATTAAGTTTTTTAGATTTCATATTTCCTTAGAGCCTAAGACATTAAATAGGTGAGTTGCTACAAATAAAGTAATTAAGTAACAAAGTGCGGTTAATATTATTATGGAGTAAAATGGTTCCAGGTATACAATATTAGCTATGATGTTCTTGAAGTGTTCGCGATCTTCGATTGATGTTGTTGTAGCGGCAAGGCGATTACAGCTTTCTGATGTACGAGAAAAAAAAGTATTAAAAAAGCATTATATCTACGAAATGAAATCGCAGTTTTACGAACTTGATCTATGGGAGATGAAACCTATTGGGGGATAAGTGTGGCGCGTTGGTAAGAGGGATTGAAGAACTCCTGAAGGAGTCCGATACGAGAGTATTTACGGCAAAATGATAGGAGGGTGGGTCATGGCTAAATTTTATGTTACCGGTGATTGAATTTCTGTTACACTGAAAATTTTCAAACGTTCAGAACTGTTTTAAAATATATCTAGGAAGTGCGTTATGTTTTCTTGGATACGATCACAAACTAAATTGGCATATTTGAGCCTTGAGTGATTTAGTATTTTGTATAGTGGTAGGTAATAGTAGTAGTAGTAGTAGTTGTAGTAGTAGTACCCTATCTTGAAGTCAAACGTCCGAGGTGCCTTGCCCAGCGTTGACAAAGCGCTTCTGCCCAGCCATTTGGTGGCACGGCCTGCCACGTTGCGACTTTGTGCCATTTATATATCCCAGCAGAATGAGACACGCGCTGCTTCGACATTATTTAAATTCGGAACACAATTTTTTAAGCAGTTTTAAAGCTGTATATTTGTATGCTTTACACAAACAATTTTTTTATCAAGTTTTTAGAAATATCTGGGCATAGTACTAATAGGCTTGTTGTAGCCCCATTGAGAGGCAGATTATAAATGTTACCGAGCACTGCTTGAAGTCTTGTTTCTAAGTGCATTCATAACCTAAAAAATGTGTGATATTTTCACCAGAATCGAACCAAATGAAACAACCATATTCAGTGTCACCTACTATTTCGCAATATGCCGGAACCTCTCTGACACTACGCAAGAAATATTGCCGGAAACCCGCCCAGACACAATTTGCAATATTTCATGTAGCTGTAATATTTATTTCATATGCGTTTTCATGAAGACTTTGATAGTATCAGTCTAGTGTGGTGAAATAAAGATTTTTAAGCAAGAGACACTTGCATCAGTTTTATAAATTTGGTCTCAAAAAGGAACGCGATTGATGTCTTGATTATCCGAATATGTAGCATCAGCCCCTCTATGTTTACATATCTCAAACCGTCTGATAGCCTTCTGATATAAACTCTGCCATATGAAGTTTCCGGAACCTACATTGGTAAATGTCCGAAAGCTCTTGCAAACTATATATCTGCATGAACAAAAAAACTTGGTGAACTTTTAAGGTTCGCCTTTAAGAGTAGAACGCGATAATGCTATCGGGCACCTTTCGCATCGCCTTCTCATTCGCCTCTCATGCTCCTCATGAATGCAAGCAGGAAGTGTAGCGGTCAGTTGAGTGCGTGGCTCGCAATCGTAGGGTTTGGGTTAGAATCACACCCTAAAATTCTTAGAATTTTTTTTAAGGCAATTTAATTTCTTTATTAAGTGATATCATTTGAGCCACGCGGCGACCTTTAACTCACACTACATCCTGTTTTTAATCACTTTTATTTCAGGCGTGACGTCATGTTTTACGTGAGCATTGTGGGTTTGAAATTTCTGCGCGATGTCATGTGGCTGTAACGTCATGACCCTAGAGACCAATCAGGATTTTCTTCTGTCGACGCTACCGACGCCGACGCCCGCATTTCTGCGACATGAGCTCCTTAACGCTCTCGCGTTAAAAGTTTTGAGCTAAAAAGTAAAAAACTTTAACTCGGAAGATATGCAATGTTTCCTTCATAAAGTTAATTCTTTTTTTCCCGCTTAAGCACTGTACTTAAAATGTGTGCTCAACGTTATCATTCTTGGAGCTAGTTTCATTTTTATATGCACGTTTTTATAACAATGTTTGTTTATGTGTTTGAATAGATATGTATGCCTAATTGCGCGGGGACACAATTTTACCAGTCGTGTCTGAGCTTTTTAGTTCGTTCGCTGAACTCGAATGGTAATTATTTCGAACTTTTAGTGGGGATTTTGCAATTGCACTTATGAATACATAATTCAGGTAAGTCAGCTACAGGAATGAAAAATAAAGTGCCTCGTCCTGCTCCCGCGATAGCATTTCAGACTTAATCGAATTTAAAATAAATGAGCAGGATAAAAATACAGTAAACAATAAATTTAAAAATCCAATTTGTAAAAACAGAAAAGGAACGAAAAAGATATTTCGGTGATATTAATTCCACTGACTCAATTAACCCACATCAGTTTCTTGGGGGCAGCATAATTTCAAATATTCATCAATAGTATTTTTAACTTGTGCAACACATTATTAAAAAGAAAACGTGAGGAGCATGCGCTCGTCTTAACCCGCTATGAAATGCCAGCGTATTTTGCCCTGTGGCGTGCAAAGCAAAGTTCGTTCCACAATAAGTGAGAACGCGACCGTTGATACGAGTCCACTAACCGTATACAGCGTGTCCTTTTTAGCTGCACCAAATTTTCAAAAAAAGGGAACGTGAGATAGAGTAATTTGAGCCCTGGGGAAGTATTAGTGGCCATGGCCGCCTGGAGAAAAAAATGTGAAATTAGGTCATTAGTTTGCTAATTAACTAAAATATTTTAACTAACTTTTTAATTTTCCACTTGAGGGCAATATAATGTATTTGTAGGATTGAAGATCGGCCACAGTATGTTCTAGCCGTGTCGTCAAAAATGGATAAAAAAAATTCCTAGTAGGCGCTACGGGGTCGAGAAATGTCACTTTCGTAAATTGCGTCAAACCGAAGCAAAACAGGAAAGACCACCGGTAAAGTTATCGCTCCGCCCTTCCGGGCACGCGATTCGTCATTATCGCGGCCGGCTCGCCTAAGCAAGTGGAACCGGCCGTGATAATGACGGATCGCATGCCCGGAAGGGCGGAACGATAACTTTACCGGCACTCTTTCCTGTTTAGTTTCGGTTTGACGCCATTTACGAAAGTGACATTTCTCGACCCCATAGCGCCTACTAGGAATTTTTTTATCCAAATTTGACGACACGGCTAGACCATACTGTGGCCAATCATCAATCCTGTAAAAGCATTAGGCGCCCCCAAGTGAAAAATTAAGAAGTTAGTTAAAACATTTTAGTTAATTAGCAAACTAATTACCTAATTTCACATTTTTTCTAGAGGCCGCCATGGCCACTAAGACTTCCCCAGGGTTCAAATTACTCAATCTCACGTTCCCTTTTTTTGAAAATTTGGTGCACCTAAAAAGAAACAGCCTGTACATAAAAACAAAACGGATGCAAAATTATTTAGAGCGTGACGTTCAGCTTACTCAATGAGAGAGAATTCAGAAAAGTTTGTGAGCCGTCGCTGCAGGAAAAGCCCATGAAGCACCACATTTTTTAAATGCCTCGTGCACTTGATTGTGCAGATGCGTATTGTGCATTTTCGAACACTCTTCTACACGCTGTGTGCACTTGAAACAGTCCACAACAAGCAGAGCGGTCTCTAAGGTTTATCTGTTGATGGACGGAATTCTGGTGAAATATTAATGGTCACAGACTTTTCTGAAAATTGGTTATGCACATCAATGGAGACATATGAAATCGGGATCCCAATTACAGGTTAGTCTCCTTTTTTCGCAAGGCTAATAAAATTTATATCTAGTCGTTGCCATATTTGTTTTACTAACAGGGTCTACCGGCAACGTTGAAACCGTGACGACCAATTTAGCCGACAGAATTTAACCCAATCTAATCCATGACGACTGAAGAGACAGCGGAATTGGCAGTAGTAGGGGATCCAGCTGCCTATAGATCCAGAATTGCAAGTCATGTAATCACCCATAACAAAGGGGAAGCCCAAGAAATCTAATTCAATCCAATCAAATGTTGTAGTTTGCGCCATACTTGGGCAGCACACATTTTTTTCACCAACAGATTACAAGAAGTTTGAAGGTGTTAAATAAATGTCGTAGAAACTCGCTCTAGCGGGGAAAAAAAAAAGACAAATACGCGACATTCTGCTTTTTTCTATAGGCTGCCCGATCGATCTACAGGTTTTTCAACTGACGGTGCCACACCTGAAAGTGCTTGGAAATTTGAATGTTAAAGATGGCATAACCTGCGTTTGCCGTTTCCTCATTGGCTATTTTGAATTTGGAGATAATAAACAGCATGGCGGGACGACTACAGTCATGAATTATTCCGAAACTTTGCTTTGTTTGGGTTGCTCGAAAAAGCGCCGGAGTTTTCTTAATCGAGTCTGGCTCTTATATTATCGCTATTTTCCATTCGTTTGCTCCTGTGTCCTTTCTGCCACGTTCGAGCTTTGGGATAGCATAGAAATCCTATTTTTTCAGGACATCCTATACGTCGCCTACAACGACCAGTCTCCGGACCGCTACAACGGCACCCGGAACGGTCACTCCAAAGGTGAGGTGGGGCGCAGGATTAAAACATTATATATATGATCTTATTTTTATCCACAGCGTCCCAATTAACATTCACCAAGCTCCGAAACACTGAATGATCTAAGCAAATCAACCCCCTGTGTGCAAATAAATCTACTGTACACAAATCCACTGCATTTTATTAGCAAGCTTCTTGCAAAAGTTCCAGTAGTTTTTTATTTAGCCTAATTTATTAAATATTTGAGACTGATTTTTTTATGAATTTCAGTCTGAGGGCGTAGGTGTCAATTGACAATTTTTTGAGTACATTCTTAAACAGATGATCAATATATTTGCAGCATGGCACATTTTGAGTGCTTATGTTTTTTTTTGGCATGGACAGAAAGTTTGTGAAATAGTAAAAAAGAAAAACAGAAACAAGGTGCCTATAAGCTGCGAAAAGAGTGGTAGCGCTGTCGCATAAAATTTTTTATAGTTCGCGGGCTTTTTTTTAATGTAACTGATCTTGGTGCCTTCATTCTAATAAGCCCCGGCCGAATCCGGTTGGGCTTAGAACCTGTCAATCTGTATGCCGGGTCTTAGCGTCACAAACCTCGCTGATCCTGATTGACGAGATCATGTAATCATGCACAATTTCTTGCCCTTGTAAGTCGCCATGTGGGTGTTATGTTTTCGTTAGTGTTTGTATTGTTTTAGAAAAAGTTAATTTTTATTTTGTTTTGTTTTTGCAAAAATTGTATTCTATATTTTTCATATGGAAAGAGCACAAGCAAATGAAGGCTTAAGCTATTTATATAAATAAATGAATAGCTTTTTTTACTCGAAACTAGAATATTTGATTTTTATAAAAGTTATCACATTAGAATGGAAATCTGAGCGAGTTGGTATGAATCCATTTTGAAAAGCAGCGCGAATAACACACGGACAAGAAGGAGAGAACGCACAGGACGAGGCGCTGACTATCAACTATATATTCAGAAGACAAACAGAGAAATTTACGCGAGGGCGACTTCTTCTTTGTCCTCTTCCAAACGTCATTCGCCATTAAGCACACAACATTGTAAATCATATCAAATTAAAACACACCAGTAAATTACAGCAGACCAGCACAGGTATTAGTCATCGCGTCCTCTTCTTCCTTTCTTCTTTCTTCGATCTTCAATCTCGATCTTCAATCTTCAGGTCAACCCATGTCCAAAAAAACTATCTGACTGTCCATTGGGGTTGTGTTTTTGTTTATACAGCCTAGAACTTGGTCTGCCTCACAGGGGCGACGAGTCTCCCAGCTGTAGATGAGAAATTTAGCCAGTGCGGTACAGCCGCTAGCCTGGGGTCTTTAACGTGCATCACGCAGTAGTGATACATGAACGCACGCCGGTACGATGCTCATTCAGATCGAAACGGGCAAGGGTGGGGCTCGAACCCAGGATCCCTGGGTTCTGCAGCGCGAGCTTTCGCTCCACATGCTCCGAGCTGGTGTGCGCTAGACCACTCGGCCACCGATCCCCCCATCTCACTGTCCACTAGGCTAATGGATGGTTGGCTCACGCACCCGGGTTTTCGTTTTGCTATATGGCAAGGTTCTACTACCTCCCTCGATAGCTGGATCGCTAGGTTGGTCATTTGAGAAAAGGTACATGGAAGTGACGTAATGCAAAGGAGGAGCGTATCCTAGCAACACTCACGTGGCGGCTCTGCCCACTTTGACGCCGCTACGTCATCGCAAACTTGACACCCGTCACCCGTTTCAGCGACGTCCGGAGCCAACCACCGACGAGCGGAAGTAGCTACGCATTCCCTGAGGCGTCCCTACGCGCGGGATACGGGGTAGGATTTACTACGACGCGGGGAGCAGTTCCTGCGTTTAGCGAAGGAACGGCAACCAATCCTGTGCGTCGCTGGCCGTCGCATCTGTTCTAGTACAGGTAAAAGTATTGAAAAACAATCAAAACCTTTTGGGCGTTGTTAAAACAAACCGCTTTTTTGTACCCTTTTGCAATACATTTAAGAATTAATTGGAGAGAAAGTTGTTTCAATATTATGCGGGATGTGCGCTACGTGCCTTCTTCAAACCAAAATGTCGAACCACGAGGAGCCGGGTGTGCCGGAGGCAGCGGAGGGGTCGACGGAACCAACGGGGAGCGCTCGAGTGACGGCTGCTTTAGTCAGAAACAATTTTTTTATCTTTCGAGAACTTGCTATTGCTGTGCTCAAATAAGAATGTTTGGCGCATCTGTGATAATTCTTTCAAAGCGGTCCAGTGTCTATATGGTGGTATGCTAGTCAGAGAATATGTATTCTTTTTTTCCTTTCGAAATTTAACTATTGTGCTTAAATAAGACCAGAGTGTTCAACAAGATATCTGTGATATATACTTAAGGCTGCGGTCCCACGGCAGCCACCTTGAACAAGACGTCAGTTCAACCAATAGATGGCGACACGCACCCGTGGGGTGGCCGAAACATTGGTTCACAGTGGGATGGCTCGAGCACCATCACGTTCCCCTCGTGGCCTTGCTCGCGCCGCTGCCAGCTGTGCTCAGCTAGCTCAAGTAGCGTGGCCCAGCAAACGGATGTATGCGAGAATGTCAGGCTGGGTATAAATTGTTGTCTGATATAGGGAGGTGCGGTCGGCGGTTGTAACGTGCTTTCGCAATAAATCTTACCAAGAAGGAATCAAATGTTGATTGACGTGTCAATATTCTATCAATGAAAATTTCCTCTGCAGGAATGCACGCTCAGTAGACTCAACCAGTGGAAGCGGACGTCGAGTAAACTGCTTCGCGATTTACGGTACTTACCTCACCATTTTAATGACGACAAAAATAACATCACGAAATATTGTGTTTCACGGGGTCCGGAAGATGTTGTAAAGGTTGTTACATTATAGTTCCCGGAAAACAAACGCCGTTGCAATATTTTCGGAAGTACCGACACACATTATGTTGTAAGTACAGCTTAGGGAAACCATCAGAAGAAATAGGAAGACGTTTATTTGCAATGAAGACGCTATGAATGAACGGCGTTTAGCGACGGCAAGTTATGAGCGTTCGGGAATTTATAAGTTGACGTGATTGCTAACCATGGACATGCGGACAATGAAGACCAGTTTTGTCGGGAGATGGTGTTGTGGTGATGACCGGATATCGGACGACTCATGGCAGACGAACAAGCAAGTTTCTTCTCAGCGATTGGTAAGTGTCCAGTTTCAAGCACAACACGTGGCTACCGACGTTGTCGACGTTTCGAACACTTACCGCTTTCGACAAAAGTCCTGGCACCTGGGCTAACTTTGTGGAAAGACTCGAACAGTAACTGAAAACGATCCACTATTCAGTCGGTGGGTGGCGAAACGTATCCACATCTGCGGAGTCATGTACGATGCGTACTCTAAGTGGCCGGAAGTTTACACGATGTCTGCCACGACGTCCAAACACGTCATTGACCTTCTACGGTCTCTTTTACCTACTTTTGCCCTACCGAAAATACTTTTTTCTGATAACGCGCCAAATCTTGCTTCAAATAAAATAAACAAGTTTTTGAAGAAAAGAAAAAACAGCATCAGGCATCACATTAGTGCACCATACCATCCTGCAACTAACGGGCAAGCAGAACAGATGGTGTGCGAAACGAAAAAAAAATCCCTTTTGAAACTTACGGAAGAAGCAGTTCAGTGAAGAATCGCCAGGTTCTTGTTCCGGCAGCACGCGTCGGTCTCATCTTACACGGAAAAAAAACCGCCGAAGCAATATTCGGCGGAAGAATAGCCACACCCCTCGATCTCATGATACTATCGCTTACGAACAAAAATCGAGAGATACCCACATCGGGAGTAATGGCAGTTTATTCGGTCGGACAACTCGCCTACGTGAGGAATTTCAGCGGAAGTCTGGCCTTCCATGTAAAACTTGAGTAGAAAAGGCTCTATGTTGGTTGACCAGGAGGTGTCATCTCTCTGAATAGGTTGGATATCAATGCCCTTAAGTGTAAATATAACTAAATCACAAACCTTTCTTTGTGTATTGTGTAACTGCCCTTGTATTTGATAGTAGAAGCTACGGTGGTGATCTGGACCTTTCACACCATGCTCCTTTTTCTTATTTTTCGCCTCATACTCTTTTGTGGTTTAAGTACGCTTCAAGAATCTTTCGGAACGGGGACACTTTACGTCAACGAGGCCATTTGTTCCAAGTAGTCAATCAGGGAATGCTGCTAGAAATCCGTCCCTCATATTAACGAATAAGCCGCACTTCTGCACAGTGCAGTTTTCCTGTTCCACGTACAGTTGTAAAGCTACATCCTCATTGATTCTACCATATACTGTTGCGGGTGAAGAAAGTCTTTGGGTACACGATACTTGAAACCAGTCTGGCACTGTACGTTGTGGTTCAACACCCATTAATGTCGTCGTCCTTATAGAGCCTCATCATTTAATCATTACCTCGTCACCTCATATTGCTCTTCATCAACAGTAAGTACAATAGGCTACCGCCACATTACAATCCAAGAATTGAAAAATTAAGTCGTTCAGTCCTTCAACCAGTTTATAATTTATATAATGTTATTACGTTACATTACCTCGAGACGATCGACGTCCATTGTCGATCTTCAAATACTTATACCTGTATATAAATTAGACGCACAAGGGGGGTTGGTTGCCGAGTGCATGGTCTAGCGCACACCAGCTCGGAGCACTGGGAGCGAAAGCTCGCGCTGCAGAACCCACCCCGCCCCTGCCCGTTTCGATCTGGAAGAGCATCGTACCGGCGTGCGGTCGTGCATCACTACTGCGTGGCGCACGTTGAAGACCCCAGGTTTTCGGTTGTACCGCACTGGCTAAATTGCTCATCTACAGCTGAGACACCAGACGCCCACTAAGGCAGACTAACTTCCGGCTGAATAAACATACACACAACAATTTGCAATTAGACGCATAATAACAAAGAACACAGTGTGCCGCCTCTTTTCTTTGGATGCCTTTTTTTCTAAACCAGCGCAAGCTCGTGCGTTCTCTCTTTTGAGA